CTGCTGGAAAATTGCTGAAGCATTGTTCAAATCAAACGGCATCACCAAGAACTCATACAAAAAGCAGTCTTAAGAATATCTTTTTCGGCCATCGGTACTTGCTAGTACCCAAAAGCAAGATCTAGCTTGGTGAACCAATGATTTTGCCCCAGATGATCCAAGAAATCAGCAGTGTGAGGAAGGGGGTACACATTTGGGATCGTCACTTCGTTTAACGGACGATAATCGATGTAGAAACGAATACTCTCATTAGGCTTTGTCACAAGATGATGTTCACATGCCCAAGGACTCCACAACTTCCGAATAACACCCTTCTCCAACATCTCCTTGATGTTTGCACATAAAATCTTAATCTCCTTGGGTGATCGACAATGAATAAAAACTTTGATTGGATGAGCATCCGCGGTTGGAATCAAATGACGTGTGGCAATCTTGGCCGCAGATGATAGGTCAAATTCAAAGAAATCAAAATACTTCTTCATAAGTCGGTCAACCGTTGCAACATAAAGACTGTCAGAAGGATCAGAAAAGGGAAGAGCAGAACGAGACAAAAACATAGGAGAAAATAGTGGGGGAACTAAAGTAATGGAAGCAGAGGTAAAAGTAGAAGGACAAAGAGGTACAAAAGTGAGAGGAATGGATGAAACATAAGGAAGTATGAGACGAGGGGGAGAAGCTTCAAAGTCACATTTGGCAAGATTGTGCTACAACCAGTCCGTACCAAGAATGAGGTCAAAAGCTTGACTCGGCACCACCCATAATGACTACAACTTAAGCTCAAGATCGCCCACATGCACAACTAGGTCCACCTTATCCTGTGCACATGCATGTGTATGGCTGTTGCCATAAAGAATGAAAACTAGTTCCACCGCACAACGCAAGTGTAGACGGCAACATGTGGCAACAGGTCGAGCAATAAAAGATAAACTCGAACTTGTATCAACCAACACGGAGAGAATAATATGAGACCTCTTGTTATAAAAATGAGCTTGGAAAGTAAACACTAGATGAACCGGTGCTGAATGAACCTCTTGATGATACTCCTAAAAGAAAAATGGAGGGGTCACTAACTTATTCACACAAGGTCCCTCTGTTACTTGTGTGACTCCTCATTTCTTGGATACATCTCAGTGTCCAAACCTTCCACTGCAGTAGCACCAACAGGACATTGCTGATGCCAAGGCCTCCACCCAGGAAATGGAGGTCGCCAATCTGGAAAACGCCGACAGTGCCGATAAGTATGACCAACTTCATCACACGCCCAGCAGCAAACATCATGGCCATGACCACGTCCTCGCCCTTGTTCTTGGACTCGAGTAGTAGCAGCATCAACCTCCATTGGAACAAGACCATCACCCATAGGAAGGGGAGCTAAAGAACGGGCAGCGAGAAGTGGAAGAAGTGACGTCTCATAACGTTGTGCCAAGCGAAGAGCATCGTCAAGGGTGGCAGGAGCAAGTGCATGCATAAGTCTGACAAGATCTTGATGAAGTACTAGCCACAACATTCCTAGCTTCATCCGCTCCGACATATTTGGCTCCGCACGAAGCAAAAGACTTTGGAAACGAATGCCAAATTATTCAGATGGCCTTTGGCGAAGACGATGCAATTGTTGGAAGGCATCATCACAGTCGTCGGCATATCTGAAGGCACGTTTAAAGATGTCCGGGAGAACACTCCAATCCCCACGAGTGGCTGCACTCAAACCATTGTACTATTGCAATGCCATCCCTTGGAGACACGTGGGAAACTCATGCAAATGTCGAGTATCATCCCAAGAATGATATATGGCTATCATCGTGAAGTGATTGAACCAATGGTACACATAATCCCTAGGATTCTTGTGAAAGAACTCTAGCCGAACATGAGGATTAGTACCAAGAGCAAAAGAAGTTGTACCACATGCCGTGAACGCCACTATCAACTGAGTTTGGTTGTTCAATTGCAAATGCATAGCATTAAGCAATTGTACCAACTACTATTCTAGAGTCAAACAAGGAGATTGCTGATCTGCCATGAAGATGGACAAAGAAAGAGCAAAAGAAGAGAAACAATAAAAAGCAAGAAGGAAATGGGAGATTTAGACAATGCAAAAAGCTAAATCTAAACTAAAATCCTAAAAGGGAAAAACAAAAGAAAGGAAATTAAAAAAGTTAGATCTAGACGATGCAAAAGTTAGATATAAACTAAAATCCTAAATTCAAACACTCCTCAAGGACAATCAAAAGTGCCCCTCGACAATCAAAGGTGCCCCTCACCTCCACCATTGTGAGTGTTTGGAATATAGAAGGGAATATAGAAAATGTGCATATCAATTAACCAAAAAACCCTAGTTTATATATAAGAGCGAGTGGTCCGGATTGAAATCAATCCAACAGCTACCAAAATCCCACTATGCTAATATTAGTATATGGCATCATAGTTGTACACTTTCACAGTAGGATTAAGAAATTATATTTATATTTTGCATTCTAAATTTGAACTTCATTGCATTTAGGTTTACAAAACACTTTACCAATTTAGGAATAATTTGCTGCATAGTACTTATTATTTATTAATAAAATTAGTTAATAAAAAACTTATAACTATAAACATATTTATAACTTATAAATACAAGATAAAATAAACTAGAATATACTAGGAAGTGCTTAAAAAAATTTACAAATTATAAATACAAAATTAATCTACCGTTAAATAGTAAACTATTCTAAAATATTCAAGTATATTCATAAGCAAACCAGAAATTATTTTAAATACCTTATCCTTTTAAATATGTATATTAAGTTTTGAGGCTAGGGTTGATATCAAACACGATGCCTCTTCTCCAGGAGCAACGTCCGGAGCATCGCAGTCGGGCAACGCTGGTCCTGGATTTGGATCACACCTTGGTGCATGGCGAAGTGCAGCGTCCAGGCCTGGACGAATTCCTGGACCAGATGTCTGCGTTGTACGAGATCGTCCTCTTCACCGCAGGCCCTCAAGAGCTGGCGGAACAGTGGGTGACAGCCATCGACAAAGGAAGGTTTGCGTTTATCCTGTATGGAAACTCATGTGTGAGCCCCAAGGTAGGAGTGAATCACAAGATCCTCAAGGATTTAGGGAGGGACATGGCCAGGGTTGTGGTGGTGGACGACACCCCGAGCACTTACAAGTATAACCAGGAGAACGCGTTGCCAATCACTCCATTCTACCGTGGGGACGACACAGACCAGGAGCTCCTTGCGCTCATCCCCTTCCTCGCCAGCATTGCTCACTCGGAGGATTTGAGATTGGAGCTCTGCAAGCGAAAGGGCTACACAAACTCCACGACTAGCGCGACCATTGTCAACAAAAAGGAAAAGGGCACTGTAGCAAGCAACAAGAAGAACAAAAAGAAGCCATAGCTGAGCTTATATTGTACTCGTTTCTTTCTTCCATAACCAATTCTAGAGCTAGCCTCTTATATCATAGTAGAATAATATGGTTTTTAATGCTAGAAAGCAATCATATAATCAATCACCCGCCAAAGCCACGCTTGGTCCTGTCAATCCATGGCGAGATACAAACCACAGTAAGGGAGTTATTAACAGAGACAAGAGAAGGTTTGTATACTTACATTGTGCGAATGGCTTTGAGAGCTTCTTCGACGTGCTGCTCCGCGGCGTACTGGTCATTGAAAACCATGCGAACGATTCCTTTCCTGTCGAGGACGTAAGTTTCTCTCCCTGGCAATGCACCGAAGAACTCTCCCGGGATCTCCAGCTCCTTGCGAAGTTTGTCACTGGAATCGCAGAGCAGCGTGAATGGGAGATGATGTTTTTGGCGAAACTCCTGCGATCTATACAACCGTGAGTGTCAAAGAAGTCTAGACAAAGTTTGCTCAGAAAGTCCCAAACCTTGTGAGTTTCTTGACCGTCTGCGCTTATGCCAATCACTTCAGCACCGGCTTTCTTAAATTCCTGATATGAGTCTCGAAAGGCGCAAGCCTGGAAACGAAGAACCAACAGCTTTCAAACAAAGAGAAAAGCTTTTTCTTTCTACCTCTCTCGTACAAGCCGGTGTGTTGTCAGCCGGGTAGAAAAAAATGACCAGAGGCTTGTACTTAAAATCGAGTAGATTCACCAGAGTTCCATCCTGGTCCCTCAAAGTGAAAGGAGGCATTCGTTGTCCCACGGAGATCTACACCGCAAAGACAATGAAAATCTAAACAATCATAATCCATACCTTGGCAACTGGACGAAACTGCCGTGGAGCTGGAGGAGTGAAACCCACTCCGCAATGTAGCCCGAGAAATCGACTCACACAGGACGCCATAGCCACGGATAATACAAAAGGTCATTTCTCGACCTCGATTCCATGGAGAAAAACAAAAATATCTTTCAAATTTGAATCGGTTATGCTAGAATTTATTTTGTTATCCAGACATAAGTACACCCAAAAAGTTTTATAAGTTTAATATTGAAGTTTCTCATATAAATGCCCAGGATCTTCAGTTCTTTGTAAAGTTTGCAAATATGAGATCATGTTTCTGCCGAAACTTCTGCAATACAACCGTGAGTGTCAAGAAACTCAAACCATGTCGAAACTAAGAGTGTGAGTTTCTTGACTATCCAATCACTCCAGCACCGGCTTTCTTAAATTCCTGATACGACACAGGCCTGGAACGAAGAATCAAAGGCTTTCAAACAAACAACAAATTACGTATAAGCTGGTGTATGGTCAGCAGAAAAAAATGACCAAAGCTTGTACTTAAAGTCGCGTAGATTCACGAGAGTTCCATCTTCAAAGCGAAAGGCAGAAATCTACACCACAAAAGCTCAATGAAAATCGAAACAAACAATGGAGGAGTGAAATAATGTAGCCCAAGAAATCGACGCCATTGCCATAATACTGTTAGAGGGAAGTCGCAAGCTCGATTGATGGCCAGAGCTGTGGTCCACAACTTAAAATGGGCCATATCGGGCACCCGAGAACTTTGGCGCCAAACACCATTTTAAAAAAACGAGACCGGACTGGACCGATCAAATCGGGCAGCCGAGCTGGGGCGTGAAGGAGAAACAAAGGAACATTTTGTGCAACACATTGGGCGCTGGCGATCCCAGCTTCCTCCACAGGCACCGCACCACATCAAACACGATGAGCATCGGCGGCTTCTCGTAATTGATGAAGTAGACGCATCCGCCATTGCCCGCGCAATCGAAGTACATCCCTCCCGGCTTGGTGAGAAACTCGTCGAAGAGGCGGCTGGGCATGGAATCGATGAGCTCCCACTCCATCGCCTCTGCCCTAAGCTGCCAAACCCTAATCCCCACCGTGGAAACGTGCTGCTTGCCAAACCCGCCCACCATGAAGAGCGCGCCCGCGCATTCCACCAAATGGGGGCACGTAAAGAAATAGGGCCACGGCGCGTTAATGTTGATCCAGATTCCCTGGTCCACAAGGAAAGCATATACCCCGTTTCGCGCCTCCCACGTCATGAAATAGAGGACGCCGTTACACACCGCCTTGCCCATGGTGAGGTCGTCCTCCGGTACGCCACTAATTGACCAGTGGCCACTGGCCGAATCGTACACCTCCGTACGCAGGTTGGTGAAATCGAAGTCGTCCGATCCGGGCGGCTTTGTCCGTACGACAATGCGGTATCGCCCGGATTTTAGGGTTCTCGGGTCCTCGCTCTCGGCGACCATGCCGACGAGCCCCGCGTAGAAATCTCCCAGCAGCGGCGGCAAGCGGCGCCAGGATCGCGTGATTGGATTGCACACACACATGCTCGAGGCGCCGTTTGCCTCGACGAGGCGGAAGCACAGCAATCCGCCGGCGCCGGTGATGTAGTAGATGTTGGAGGGGAGGAAGGAGAGGGGGAAATGGAGCCAGCGATCTTCGTCCGGGATGTAGACGAAGACGAGCTTGTAGTGGACGTCCGCGAACATCAGGAGCCAGGATTGGTGATTCTTGGCGGCGCAGTGCCCCAGGAATGTCGGGGAGGAGAGGAGGGATTGCCAGCGCGAGCAGACGATGCGGAGCCGGAAGAAGCTGGGGATTGGGAGCCGGGCCAGGATTCTGTCGTGGAGATCCTCCGGGAGGCATCCCCACAATGCTGGATCCATGAATTGATCGTCATCGTCCTCCTCTTCCTCTCCGCCGGGGATTGGGGTTTTCAGGGATTCTCGATCCAGCTTCTTCATCTTCTTCACGAGATTATAGCTGCAGGACGCCTCCCCTTCCACGCCCGCCGCTTCTTGCTGCGATCTTTCTTCACCATCGCTGGGAATCGCCTCGCTCACCATCGGTCACTGTTCCTCATAGCGGCTGCTCTGTTCTTCCCACTTCCGGGGAGAAAAATTAGGGCAGAAATGGGCCAGGTGTACGAACGGACGCGACGTTGCCAGGTGGTCGGTACGGACTGGTGCTACAGAATATGAGGTGGTTGGGAATATTCTGATACTCCTCTATGAACCACATGTCTTCATTTTGGAGCACTTTAGCACACGAGCAGGATACTGCGAAGGACCTCTTCTTCTTCTTGTGAGGGAGGTTGCGAGCTATGGCCACCGCCTCGGCAAGATCTCCACTGCTGCCCTCTACGGCGGCGAGCTGCCACGCGCGATCGAGATCGATGGGGGCGACGACGAGGAATTGTTTGGGTTTCTCGGCCTCAATCGCCAGTACCTCAGGTCTGACGAGAACCTTGCCCGCCGCATTGAGGCCGGCGATGCAGCCCGGAGCTTTGGTGGTGAAGGCGGTGTCGGATTCCATGGAGGAGGAGATCTGCTTGAAGCCCGACGCTGGAGTGGTGAGTGCTTGCTCTTTCGCATTGCTGCATTGTGGGTTTTTTTAGCTTGCTTTGCTTTTCTTGCTCGTTTGGTTTGGCCATGCGCAATCTAGCGGAGATAAGGGCCGTAGAAGTCCGGATCATGCATTCTTTTCTCTGATGCTAGAAACCATTCTCACTGAAGTGGTTTTCTTCTTCTAGAGCGTTTTGGGGATCATTCTAGGTGGAGGAGCCGGGACACGGCTTTATCCACTCACGAAAAAGAGGGCAAAGCCAGCGGTGCCACTGGGTGCAAACTATCGCCTCATCGATATCCCCGTGAGCAACTGCATCAACAGCAACATCAGGAAGATCTATGTTCTCACGCAGTTCAACTCGGCATCGTTGAACCGTCACTTATCGCGAGCTTATTCCAGTAACATGGGAAACTACAAGAACGAAGGATTCGTGGAGGTTCTCGCTGCTCAACAAAGTCCCGAGAATCCTAACTGGTTTCAGGTAATTGTTCTCAAAGTTTTTAAGTTCTCGCAGTTCCAGCTGAAGCTGTTTTTGTAGGGAACCGCTGATGCTGTGAGACAATATATGTGGCTTTTTGAAGAGCAGCCTGTGATGGAGTATTTGATTCTGGCTGGAGATCATCTCTATCGCATGGACTACCAGAAGTTCATTCAAGCTCACCGGATCACCGATGCAGACATCACGGTGGCTGCACTGCCTATGGACGAGAAGCGCGCGACTGCCTTTGGCTTGATGAAGATTGATGACGAAGGCCGGATCACAGAGTTTTCTGAGAAGCCGAAAGGAAGTGCTCTCAAGGCTATGGAGGTATATTTATTGTCGTTTGTTTTCGCTGACTAGAATCGAAACAATAATGCTATGCTGCTCTTGCAGGTGGACACGACAATTCTTGGTCTGGATCCGGAAAGAGCTAAAGAGATGCCTTACATTGCAAGCATGGGTATTTATGTGGTGAGTAAGGATGTCATGAGCAGGCTTCTTCGTGATGAATTTCCTAACTGCAACGATTTTGGAAGTGAAGTGATTCCTGGCGCCACACAGCTTGGCATGAAGGTTTGTTTTTGCTCTGAAGGGATCGAAACGAACGTGACTTAAACAATACTCTGTTCGTTGCAGGTGCAAGCGTATTTGTATGATGGATACTGGGAAGACATAGGGACTATAGAGGCATTTTACCATGCCAACTTAGGATTCACAAAGAAGCCCGTTCCAAACTTCAGGTACTAGAAGCTTGTTGTCGTGAGTGCTCATTCTGCTAACTTTTCTTTCGTCTTGCTCCAGCTTCTATGATAGATCGGCTCCGATCTACACTCAAGCACGGTTTCTACCTCCCTCGAAACTCATCGATGCGGACGTGACTGACAGTGTGATCGGCGAAGGCTGCCTCATCAAGGTTTGTTTTTTCAAATGCGGCAAAGAAGATAAGCTTTAACGAACGCGACGCAGAGCTGTAAGATCCACCACTCGGTGATTGGATTGAGGTCCTGGATAGCCGAGGATGCGCTGGTGGAAGACGCACTGCTCATGGGTGCCGACTTCTATGAGGTGTGTCAATCTTTCTTTCTTTATAGTTTGTTCTTCTGTGAGGTGTTGCAATCTTTTTTTCTTTATAGTTTTTCTTTCTTCTGACGATGCTTCTCTCTAGACTGACGAGGAAAGAGACGCTCTTCTACTAAAAGGAGGGGTCCCCGTTGGCATCGGCAAAGGCAGTGTGGTGAGGCGAGCAATTGTGGACAAGAACGCGCGAATTGGACAAAACGTTCAGGCAAGATCTCGTTGTCTTTGATGTTTCAAGGAAGAGAAAAAAATCTGTGTTTGCTCGTCGTTTTTGCAGATCATAAACAAAGATGGTGTCCAGGAAGCCGCCAGAGAAACCGACGGTTTCTTCATCAATTGTGGGATCGTGACAGTGATAAAAGACGCGGTCATTCCAAACTCCGTGGTTATTTAAGCTGACTCGGGTTAAGAGTTTTCGTGGAGGGTGGGGGTTCGATTCCTGTGGCGGCGGCTTTGGCCGGCCGCCAATTATGGCACGCCACGTGCCACGTTGTTAGGGCACGCGACACGTAAGCGCGTGGGGTTGTGTTTAACCAAAATGGTTCTCCTAAATTCTATACCTCTTTTTCTCTCGATGCTTGTCGTCGCGTGTAGGCATTGCGCTCAATCGTCGCCTCGAGCGCCGGTTTGAGGGAAGGAAGCGCCGCCGCCGCTGATCGATCGACGCGCCACCGGCTGGATCACCGCCACTCGCCAAAAGGTTAGGGTTTTTGGAGAGAGGGCCGGGAATCGTCGTCGCCGCTCCTCCGCCATGGCCGCCGATTGCTCGCTGGATGCCACAGGGAGGAGAAGAGGCTAGCGCGGAGGAAACAAAGGAATGGGATGGATGAAGGAGAAATATGTACGAGGTGATTAGCACAGGGCGTAGTATGCATAGAAATGAAGGAATTCACGAAGGATTCATGGTGGAGAGGCAAGGAGACGTGGAGCTTAACGATTACCAGCAGTTGCCAGGGGCGCCGCCGGCACCGCCACCCGGCGATGATTCTTCCAGTCCGGTGGATTTTATGAAGGAGGAGAGCCTCAAGTTTGATGCGGTCTCGGACTTGGATCGTTTCTTCGTGCGGCTCTATGAGTACCATCGCGAGCAGGGGTTCTGGTGCATTGTCACGCAGTGGGTTCTGGAGCTGCTGTGCCTGGCCTTCACCATCTTGTTCTCGGGGTTTTTCTTGCTCTTCGTCAACTGGCATGGCCTCCGGACTGCCAAGTGTGGGATTGCTGCGGCGGAAGCTGGGACTGCTCCTTGCGACTTGTCAAAGGAGGCGCTCTACGAGCATCCGCTACAGCCTCTCACGTTCTACAGGTTTATGGTCGTCACGTACTTGGTTCTGTTCTCGCTCTACTGGATCTTTTGTTTCCTGAGGTTCTTCACACAGCTCAAGGAAACTCTGGAGATCCGGGACTTTTACCACACAAGGTCTGTCTCTATCATTGCAAACTCTACTGTGGATTCACTTGTTTGCTTGTATTCTTGCAGTTTGTGCCTTACGGAACACGAGATACAGACCACCTTGTGGCCGGTGGTTCTGGAGAGAATTGTGCAGCAGAGGCTGTGTATAGTTCGGCATCTCTCGGCTCACGACATTGTGATGCGCATCATGCGAAAGGAGAATTATCTGATTGGGATGGTGAACAAGGGCGTTTTTGCGCTTCCTCTTCCACACTGGGTGCCGGGAGTCGGGCTGACTGTTGCCCGTGGTCCTCAGGGTGTGCGGAAGCGGCTGTTTCTCAGTAAGACCCTCGAGTGGAGTCTAAACTGGTGCATACTTCAGTATATGTTTGACAGGTAAAACGAAGTGTTCAGTGTGGGTCTGTTAATCACAATGTTCCCGTTCTTTCAGGCGCTTCTCCATTCAAAGAGACTTTCTTAACAATCCTCATCGGTTAAAGAAGCGCTTGAGAACATTCGGGCTGTGCATGCTCTTGTTGTCTCCCTTCTTGATAATATTTATGCTGGTATTCTTCTTCCTGAGGCATGCCGAGCAGTTTTACAATCACCCAAGCTCTGCTGTCTCCCGCCGGTGGTCCAACTTAGCAAAGTGGACATTCCGTGAGTTCAACGAGGTAAACTTCTTTGTTTCTAAATGCTCAACGATCTTAAACGTGGTGTGTGCTGCACGCAGCTGGAGCATATGTTTAATCAAAGGCTTAATGCGAGCTACAAACCGGCAGTCGAGTACGTTAAACAGTTTCCGTCTCCAATTGTTTCAAAGGTTGCAAAGTTCGTGTCTTTTGTCTCCGGCGGACTAGCAGCCGTGCTAATTATTATCGCGTTTTTGGATGAATCTCTCCTTGAAGCTCAGGTAAGACTGTGCTCTAATTTGAATAAGTTTTGACTCTTTATTTTTGCTCTTAGCTCTTTGGGCGCAACTTGTTATGGATGGCCGCTGTTTTCGGCACTATAACTGCAATCAGCAAGCAATGCACAGCCGACGAAAACCAAGTCTTTGATCCAGAAGGCTTCATGAGATATGTAGCACAGCATACGCATTACATGCCAAAACATTGGAGGGGAGCCGAGTATACGATCAGAATACGGCTGGAATTTGAAAAATTATTTCAGGTTTGTGGAGGCTAAGCTCATGAATCGGTCTAGGCTAATTCCTAACGTCTTTTCAGTATACGGGTGTGATGCTGCTGGAGGAAATGATTTCAATATTCGTCACGCCTTTTATCCTTATTGTTCTCCTCCCAGAGGTACTTCTATATGGCATGTTTATCGTGCATTGATGTTAGCTCTCCGTGTGCAGTGTGTCGATGATGTGCTGCAGTTTGTTCAGGACTTCACTGTCAATTTATCTGGCGTAGGCGATGTTTGCAGCCTTGCAGTATTTGATTTTGAGCACCACGGGAACATGAAGTATGGTTCCCCGTGTTTTACAGCCAAAGACCGAAGGAGCAACCAAGGAAAGATGGAAAAGTCGTTTCTAAGGTAACCGAAACATCACTTTTATCAGTTGTGCTAACTGCGTGCTGCAGCTTCAAGAGCAACTATCCAAACTGGGAACCCGACGCCAAAGGAAAACAGTTCCTAAATCTTCTTGCTCAGTTCCGAATGCGCCACGAAGATCCCGCAACGCACCCAATGTCGATCCCTTCATTGTCATCCACCATCCTGCACCAGACAGGAATCTTCAGGGACGGCATGAGTTCTCGGCATCCACTTCTCCGCGCGAGCATGAGGCAGAGCACGAGAAACGACTTCGTCCTACTGTCCAACAGCAACTTAGTCCAGGTGGATCAGATGTACTGGCTCGACCAGTACTACACGTCCAAGTCCGTGCAAGGCTACGAGATCGCGATACCAATGGGGGAACAGGTTGAACGTGAGAGTGGTGGCGAAAGCAATACCGGAGAGCTGCAGCGATATGCTGAAGCTGGCAGGAATCTGGTAAAGGCGACTACAAGCGACCGGGCTGCTACCGAGAGTCGATGGTGGGCACGGCGAGCTGGTGGCTCGGCCATGAACGGGGAGAGCATCTTCCAGCCTCCAGTGTTTCGGGGAGCAACCTTACCGCAGGACAGCGAGAGTGAGGAGGACCAGGACAGTGACTGGCTGCGAAGACCGTCACGGAGTTCTTTCACGAGCACTCACGCTGACAACGATGGTGGCGGCCAGTTTGATCTCCCCTTTGGCGACGTGTACGAGAAGTCACGCGATTTCTCGGCGGACAAGCAAAGGCCAGGCGGTGGTGAAGTGAGGTCTGTGTGAAGTTTCATCTCTTTCAAGCAAAAGCAGGAGAGATGGATTTCTTCCTGGCTTCTACTGCTACTTCCGGGTACGTTTACTCTCTTCTCTTTACGTGGCTTTGAAAAGATTTTGTCTAATCCAGGCTGTGACCGAAAGGATTTTATTCTTTCAATCGTGATGTGAAGGCCAAGGTTTTCTACGAGATTTAGAGTCGATGATCCGACACGGCACGACGACAGGTTTTTCAGTGTAAAGCTTCGTCGCTAGCTAACAATCCGTTTTGTTTATTTTGGTCCGTCAAAGCCACCCATTTATTCTGTACAGAAGAACCAAAAGGAAAAAAAACACTACTTTTTTCTCTTAAAGCTTGTATGCCTTGTAATAAAAATAAAAAGGTGAAAAAGTCTTCAACAATGCCTGTTCCCTCCGGCTACCACCACCAATGCTGCTCCAGAGTCTCTGGATTTCTTCTCGTGAAATCTCTGGGAGATGAGATGAGAAAACGTAAAAGTTTTGAGAGCTTCCGACCTTTTCTTCGTTTTCAAGGTGCTTGGCTACAAACATCTCGAGCGCGTTGTCTCCGCGAAGAATCTTGGCGGCACCTGGTTGGCCATCCGGTGTGCCAACGGCAGCACCGTCAATCACCACTCCATCAATCTTGGCAGCTCCAATATCACCGTCGGGAACCTTGGAATAACAAAGTCTGTATGAATTTCCAATTCGAAGAAAAAGTTAGCGACTCACAACGAACATTGCCTCCGTGAGGAGCTGCTCCAGGATAGAACGCAAGCCACGGGCACCTGTGTTTTTGACCATAGCCTTTTGAGCGATCCTTCTCAGTCCTAAAGTGGTAATGTGAAGTTTCACCTTAACAGAGAAAGAAAGCGGATCGGCACATGGAGGAGGAAATTTTTGAGACATCTCTTACGTCGTTCATTGCAAAGAGCTTGGTGTACTGTTTGCCCAATGCGTTCTTAGGCGTCATGAGAACCTGCTCGCTTGCAAAAGTAGGAAAAAGTATGCTGTAAAGTATAACTCATTTCACTAACCTGGACAAGTTGATCCTCGTTCAAAGCGGAAAGGCTCACAATCACTGGAAAGCGTCCAATAAACTCTGGTATCAATCCATATGAAATGAGATCACTGCTCTCGACCTGCTCAAGAGAAAAGAGAGATCTCTAAATATTAGAGCCGTAAAGCGAACCTTTTCAAGCAATGATGAAGCAACCGTCGCACTGGTTGTACCACCGTTATTTCTTATATTGGCTCGCACTGGTGCCCCAAAACCGATGGACGAATCTTGTCTCCTGGGATATTGCTTTAGATAAAAACGATAACTAAAGTCTTTGCAACCACCAACCTCTCAGCAATCGTTTTCTCCAGATCCACGAAAGCTCCCCCGCATATAAAAAGGATTTCTTTCGTATCAATCTGAAAGTAGGCATGGTTAAATAAATCAAAGCTGAAAGATAGAACCCCACAGCAAACCTGGGTGTGATCGCTACGAGGATGCTTTCTAGCTCCTTTCTCAGGGACGTTAACAATCTGTACACACTCACTGAACGAGTTGATTACCCGAGAAGCCTTTGCAATGAGAATAGAATTTCAGCTCCTTACAGTTCCTTCCAAAATTTTGAGCAGTGCTTGTTGAACACCTTCACCGCTCACGTCCCTTCCAATGTTGAGGCTTTCTGACTGCACTGGAGAAAAGTCAGGCCGAAAGAAAGAAAGAAAAATGGATTTTGATCATACCTTTTTGGTAATTTTGTCGACTTCGTCAATGTAGACTATTCCTTGCTGAGCTGCATTTACGTTGAACTCGGCCGCCTAGTGAAAGACAAAAAGCTTAGGACCAGGTAATAGTATCCCAAACATACCACAAGAAGTTTATGAAGGATAGATTCCACGTCTTCTCCAACATATCCTGCCTAAGGAGCCAATACTTTATAACGAACCAAGCTCAAACAAAATTTCCTTACTTGCATCTTAGAAAATTTGTTGATTGAATCTTGCCTGTGTGAGCGTCGTAGCATCTGCAATTATGAAGGGAACATTCACAAACTTTGCCAAGCACTTAGCTAACAATGTCTTCCCTGCAAAAAATCAAGGTGAGCTTGCATGGAATCTTGTGTAAAGCATCGGTACCAGAGCCAGTAGGACCGAGCAACAGCACATTGCTCTTCTCAAGCTCAACTTCATCGTCTCCAGACGCATTGGCATTCGACACTACGCTCTCATCAAATTCCTCTGATCTGAAAAACGATGCAAGCACTTGTTGGTATAGGAATAGAAAAAATGTTGCGTACTCTCCCATAGAAGCGGCTTTGGCAGCTTCATTTCTTAAACTCTCAAAGTAAATCCGTTTGTAGTGATTATAGACTGCCACAGACAACACCTGGAAGAGAAGAACAACCAAACGTAAGATAAAAGCAAGAACACGAGCACCATCACACCTTTTTGGCTCGGTCCTGGCCGATGACGAACTTGTCAAGCTCCTCGGAGATCTCACGAGGAGAAGGCAAATTCCTCCCGAGATTGGAACCACCCCATCTCCGGCTCGTGTCACCCAGCGAGTAGCTCGATCCAGAGTTGTGCTTGGACGATTTCTTGAGTGAGCGCGTGACGTGGGTGTCTGGTGGAATGGGAGGTGACGGTGGCTCCACAGGAATCATGCCCCCGGAGCTTTCCCTGGAGTCCCTTCCACCGTCATTCTTACCACCACCGGAAGCCGACGAAGAAGAAGACGATGGCGATGACGACGACACCTTCTCCAGCAATGCATTGTTGATCATCTTCCTCACCCAGCCGCGGAGCTGATCGTCCATGGAGGAGGAAGGACGAGGAGGAGAAGATTGTTCTTGCTCCTTCTCCTTGCTGCTCCTGGGATCTTGCGCACATCCGGCCGCGAATTCCAGTGGCCCGATGGAACACATTGCCCCGCAGTGAGGGCAAGCCTGCTCGAAGGAGTAGCCGCGCTTGCCGAAGATATCGTGGAGATACGTTGCCGACGACGAGGATCCGGACGAGACAGGAATCGAGATCTTGGCATCGCAGGACGGGCACCGCGTCTCCGTTTTGATCGACGATGACGAATCGCCGCTGCTACTCCCACTCTCGAAATTCCTGCGCTTGATCAAGATCGCGGGCGTCGAATGGCCGCTTAGATTCTTGCCCCGGCTGGAGATTATGAGGCTTCCAGACGGCATCCGCCATGGCAGCGATCTGCAGTGCGTGCTCTTGCCCTCGCAGAACCGGAGCAGCGATTTCAGCGAGGCGGTGAGGATTTTGGTGCTGCATTGTCGCGAATCGCCTACCAGGGGCTTGAATCTCACGATCATCGTTGGAGGAGGGCAGGAATCAAGGCCCAGGCGCCGCGCTATCGCCTCGGTGCTAGCATCGTGGAGAATCCCTTTCTAGGGTTCCTTCCAAAGTAAGAATAAGCCAATTGGTGCATCCATTCCCACTACCAATAAATGCGCGCCACATCAGAATTAGGGCTTTCAAAATTACACCCTAATTTCAAATCGTGGCGGGGAGTTTAGATCAATGTTTGTGACAACGAGACGTAAGCAGCAGCGTTGTTTGGTTCCATCTCAAGAACAGACATGGCACACACTCTTCCTTGCTCAACGTTTTTGTCACTGGAACAAAACGCGAGCATGCAATGCCAATCTACAAGATCAGGAACGCTGGGCATTTCAGCAATCACGGCTTGGGCATTCGCCAAAACGACTGCCCGGCACAGGAGATCGATCACGCAGCTGTAGTGCTGCTTGGTTGCCTCCAATCCGAAGTCCCATGCCATGGATCTGAAGCAAGAGATGCCCAGTACGCAGTTCCCCGCCCGGCCGCAGGCAACCAAGAAGCAAGCAACGCTGATTGCGCTGGGGATCCACTGCTGCTGAAGCTCGAAGAAGAATCCGATCGCTTGGGCTGGCTTGCCTTGCCCCGCAAATGCCGCCAGCACTGAATTCCAGCTCACGAAATCGCGCTCCGGCATCGATCGGAAGACTTTTTCCGCTTCTTGCAGATGACCATCGCGGGCAAATGCAGAAAGAACTATGTTCCAAGTTGTTACGTCTCTCTGGTTAGCCCTGTGAAAAACACCAACTGCACTAGCAAGTTTACGATTAAGTGCTAAAGATGAAATAAATGCGTTTTGGGCTATGGTATCTACTTCGGGCATTGTATAAAATAAAGCCTCTGCTTCTTCAAAATACCCGAACGAGGTATATGCAAAGATCATCGACGTCCAAGAGGAGATGCACCAGCTGCGGACCTGATCAAATATTTCCTTTGCTTCCTCAAGCTTCCCACACCGTGCCAGAGTGTCTACCATGACTGACATGGATCCTACGTCATGCACAGGCATTTTCCCAAACAAGTTAATTACGTGTAAGATTTGCCCATCTTGGGCGAATGCTGCCAGCATGGCATTCCACGCTGTCAGGTCTCGTCCAGGCATTTCATGAAAGATGCCCTGTGCTTGGGTGACGTGGCCAGCGCGACCGTATGACGTCAGCATCACTGTCCATGACACAATGTTGTGCTCTGGCATCCGATCAAAGAGATCTCTTGTTTCACCCAGAAGAAGAGGATCCTGGCCAAATGCGGCTACCATCGTCGTCCAGGTGACGAGATTCTTCTCCAGCATTGAATCAAACAAGCGGTTTGCCTCGAGGATTTGTGATTCCTGAGCGTAAGCTCGCAGCAACGTTGTCGAGGAAATTAGATTTGTCTCAGGCATCCGATCGAAAAAGGATTTGGCCTCTTGGAGATAGCCTTCCTGGACAAATGCCGCGAGCATCGCATTCATGGCAACGAGATTCCACTCTAGCATTGAGTCGAACAGACTCTTTGCATGCTGGATCTTGCCGTTGGAACCAAACCCACTAATTGCGACCGTCCATGACATGAGATTCCTCTCGGGCATAGCACCAAACAAAGCGTTCATGCCCTCCAGATCCCCAGTTCGGGCATATCCCGTTAGCATCACTGTCCAAGAGAAAAGATTCCTTCTCTTCATGGAATCAAACACCCTCTTTGTGTCATCGAAAGAGGAACAAGATGCCATGCTTGCCAGCAAGGAATTCCAGGATGCTAGGATCTGATCTGGCATGGAATCAAAGACCTACATTTGACAGGACAAGATTCCCAATGCCAGTATTATGTCCTTTCAAAAGCTGGTGGAAGATTTACTATGCTTTTTACCACAAAGTCACAATCTTATGCCTAGCAAATCATTTGCAGAGGTTGTTAGATTCCACATGTCCCACACTTGATTGTCACTATCTAGATTTTTGCTTTGGGGTGGATTTATAAAAGATGGTGTGAGCTATCATCAACACAACATAAGATTTATGTCACTTGAAAGATGAATGTGTATATATATTTCCTAATGTTTTATAGAGACTAAAACAACATTAAAATGTAAGTAATTAAATTTTCCATTTTACTTAAATCACTTAACCACACCTTTAACCACTTAGAGGAGTTTCACTCACAACCTCCATAAGTTCTACTCCGGACTTAGGGAATTGTTAGCCCCATAAATAACATCTATACCACTTAGCCTTTGCACTTGGTTCAAATGTTTCACTTATTCCATCTTATGACCAACACCCAAAAGTACTACCAATATATCAATCTATTATGTTAAAGCTATGCCCATTCATTTTTGTCACCTTAGTGGTTTAAGACCACCTACATTACAAACCCATCTCTTAAAGATTTGTTTATGAGTGGTCATCTTATGACCACATCTTAGCATCTTTAAGATGCTGGAAAACATGAGGAACACCCTTCTCTAATATTCTTTTTTTAATTCCCACCAAGTCCCCATCCACAGCCATACTTGCCAACATTGTCACTAAGTCAAGGCTTAAAGGGCTGACCGTTAAGTTCCACTGATATCTAAAACTTCTTCACCATGTGATCATATCCTTAGTCACTACATAAAAGGACTTTTCAACTTTAGTGTAAGCAATCAAAAGGAATGACTTGAGATACGATCCATAAAGTTCAAATATATAGGGAAAGGGCCTATGAATAATAGTGCACCCCTTTTTTCAATCAGTTAAGGGTCTTGAGATACTTAAGGTTAAGTGTTCTTAGGTTTGAATAGTACTAGGTTGGGTGACCTCCCGGGAAGTCTTAACTTAGAAGCTTATATTTAACCTTGGACTCTTTAATGGCTATACCATCATCCAACATGTGGATATACTTTTAGTCACACTACTTTTCCTGGCCAAATTAGCACCACTGAAATCTTCCCCTTACTATACTTTTGGAGTTCCTAAAGTTTATAGAAGATAATTGTTTTGGGCTTTCACCCTTAGACTTAGACTTGGATTTGGACTCGAATTCGGGCTCAGACTTAGACTTGGTTTCGGTCTCAATCTTAGTCTTGGATTCCATCTTGGGTCCATCTCGAACTCCATTTTGGGTCCATCTCAGACTCCATCTTGGGTCCATCTTTGACTCCATCTCAGATTCCATCTTGTTCCTGATAGTTCCATATGTCACAACATTTGCCATGTATCAGTCTTTCTTGTGTCCCTTTTTGGAGACTCATTCACTAATTGCTTCATGCTCATCCCTTGAGCACTTAATTTATAGTTCCACTCCCACTCTTGACTTTTTAGGTCGAAGCTTTTGTAAATGACAAAGCATCACTTCAATGTTATCAACACCAAAACAAAGCTAGAAGAAAGCAAAAGTGAATCACCACTCAAAACTCTTTAGTAACCAAGTTAACCAAAGTCAAAAATATTTTACTCAATATCCAAAACTAATCCTTCAATAATATATAGTTATAAATAACACATCATCAATGAGTGATTCATCACATCCAAGACTCAATGAAATCCAACACCACAGATTAAACACAACTAAATAAAATCGATAAAGGTGGAATTGATATACTAATATGGAAAAACCATACAAGTTTAATAACACAATCCTTTGCAACACCATCCAGTAAAGTAAACCTATCACTAACAAATTTTCATTAAGCAAAGCAAGTGTCAACAGTCCTTAACAAAATTTACAAGCAATCACTAATTGCAAGACAACTAACAATCACTTTTTAACTTGTCTTTCATAAAATCTAAACACTAAACTCATATCATCAAGTTATATATTTTTCCAATATAAATGTAATACCCTTGGTACGAGATAAAGGTTCATGAATAAACACGATTAAATGACCACTCAAATCTAATTAAATTGTAATAAACTCATAAACACGTATAACTAATAATTTTGAGCATATCTTGATGAGGCTAACTAGTTAAAACTAAAGTAAAAATTATGAAATGGACTCATATTAGTATACAACCTCTTCATAGACAAGGCTATAATATGGATACTAACATTTTAACTGTAAACAACTAAGTTGGACATCACTATCCTTAGCCAAGGTGTAGGGCCACTAAGACCAAGTCAAAATCAATAAAAGTTCATTACTCTCATAGAGTTTAATAAAATGCAAGATGCAACTTGCCACCAAACATAATGCTACAAAACAAAGACACAAAGATCACATTTATAGAAAAGTGTAATGGCCACTTTTCTATACCAACTCCAGACTCTATCCAAACTCAATTGTTTTAACCTAAAAGTTAACATCCCTTTTAGATTGCATCTTACAAATTATTTACTAAGGTCTAAATTAACTAAGATCACTTCACTAATTTGTATTGGCTTTTGAAAACAAAATGGTTTTTGAGCAAAATGATCAATAGATCAGCCATTGGAAAAGTTTAAGAAAAATTTTTGAAAAATTTTCATCCTAGAGAAAGAATGATTTTTAGTCTAAAAATATAAACTTTCAAGACTCAACCACCTTTCTTTTACATACAACTTCATATAGGTTCACCTCAACACAAATTTTTATAACTCAATAGCATGCTAACATTATGCTCATATTTCCAAATTCGACATCAACATCTGTAAAATGCAAAGTGAATACCCAAGATTTGATCATGAAGACCATATCTTCAAATATCTACATTGCACTAACACTTTTCTTCAATCACCTTTAAGATCTAATGTGAAAGCAAAACACTAACAAAAAAAATGACATGAAAAATCAAGATGTAAAGAAAATTCCTCATCACTCGAAATAACAATGCCAGTTTCACTAACATAAATGCTAGCGATGTCAATGCCTCAATTATACACCTTCTTCATCCAACAATTTACTCAAAGTGTTAACGAATAAACCAACAAGTTATAACAAGTGAATGTTATAACCTTTTCCAACACTTTATAAGCAAATTCTCAAAGAAACAAAATACTAACTTAAACTTAGCATAATGGATCACCATTGAGAATCCAAATACCCTTTTTCCCTTTATATTTGAACTATTATAAATTATTTGTCAAGTCATTCCCTTTAGTTATTAAGCATGTGGTGTGTTAGAGCAACAAATAGGGCATTGAAACCACTAGGAAATCAAGGAAGAGAGAAAACTACACAATGCATGCTGAAGAACTATAATAGGCAAATTGCATAAACACTGTAGATAGATCCACCAAACCAAATAACTCTAAGGCATTTCAGATTGATCAAAACATAGAGGGGAGATGGCTGGTCTCTCCACACAGCACATAACACCACACATACACAAGAAAGAAGAGAACCCCCAAACAAAAAGATAGATATTAGCATACATGCATCAACCTTTTAGGGCTCCACGTCAATGCCCACCAGTCTATCCACCCGTCCGCCATGTGGGCTTGACAATCCGGCCGTCCACCTGGACGCCGCGGTTGCCGCCCATCCGTAGGTTGGTCCGGCCCAGAATATTCTCGAGGCATACATCATGCCAGTCATGGCCATGGCCATGACCGCGCAGCCGTCGGATGGGCCCTCATCCGAGGGCGGCAGCGCGGGTATAAAGGGAAGTTCAAACGCTGGCACGGATCAGTGTTCTCTCTTCTCTCTTTTTCCAACGCACAAAAGAAGAAGAACACACAAAGAAGAGCGCAAACATTCGATTTGATCCGAGAGAGAGGACGATTCGATCGGAGAACAGGGCAAGGCCGGGCAATCGATTCCACGCATCCTCGTCTTGTGCATTGGCAGGAGCTCGATTTACCGGCGCTCTCAATTTGGGCTTCTCATTCCTCCCCTGCTGCAGGAGCTAGACAAATCCTCCCTCAATCGATCGATCGATCCAGGGGAAGAAGCGAAAATGGTGGCCAACGGCAGCGACACAACCTCCTCCTACTCGCCGCTCGTCCGGGTGTCGCCAGATCCCACGCTCTGCCTCCCCAATTCCACTCCGCGCTACGACACATCCGATCCCCTCAGCTGGAAGAAGGCCGCGGCGGCGATGTCGGGTAGCCACCTCGAGGAGGTCCGCGAGATGGTCCACACCGTCTACGGCGCCGCCAAGCCCAGCTTCTCGATCGAGGGCACCACGCTCACCATCGCCCAGGTGGCGGCAGTGGCCAAGCGCGGCGCCCAGGTACGCTTGGATTCCGCCGCCGCCAAGAAGAGGGTGGACGAGAGCTCCAACTGGGTACTCGACAATGCGATGAAGGGGACCGACATCTACGGTGTCACGACTGGATTCGGCGCCACCTCCCACCGCCGGATCAACCAGGGCGTGGGGCTCCAGCGCGAGCTCATCCGCGTCCTCAACGCCGGGATCTTCAGCGACGACGATTCGACCAACGTTCTCCCGCTGGCCTTCGCGCGCGCCGCGATGCTGGTGCGCACCAACACGCTCCTCCAGGGCTACTCGGGCATCCGGTGGGAGATCCTGTCCGCCATGGAGAAGCTCGTCAACTCGGGCATCGTGGCGCGGATCCCACTCCGAGGGACGATCACTGCCTCCGGCGATCTCGTCCCTCTCAGCTACATTGCCGGGCTGCTCAGCGGCCGATCCAACGTGCGCGCCGTCTTGCCGGATGGGAAGGTCGTCACCAGCGCCGAGGCGCTCAAGCTCGTCGGCGTGGAGCAGCCGTTCGAGCTCCAGCCCAAGGAAGGCTTCGCCATCGTCAACGGCACGGCAGTCGGCGCGGCGGTGGCCTCCATCGCCTGCTTCGACGCCAACGTCCTGGCGCTCCTGGCCGAGATCCTGTCCGCGATGTTCTGCGAGGCGATGCAAGGCAAGCCCGAGTTCACGGATCCGCTGACGCACAAGCTCAAGCACCACCCCGGCCAGATCGAGGCCGCCGCCATCATGGAACATGTCCTCGCCGGGAGCTCCTACATGAAGGCCGCCGCCAAGCTCCACGAGACCGACTCCCTCAAGAAGCCCAAGCAGGACCGCTACGCGCTGCGCACCTCCCCGCAGTGGCTCGGCCCCCAGATCGAAGTCATCCGCCACGCCACTCACTCCATCCAGCGCGAGATCAACTCCGTGAATGACAACCCGATCATCGATGTTGCTCGCGACAAGGCCCTCCACGGCGGGAACTTCCAGGGGACGCCCATCGGTGTGTCCATGGATAACTTGCGCTTGGCGGTGGCGGCCATCGGGAAACTCATGTTCGCGCAGTTCTCGGAGCTCGTCAATGACTTCTACAACAACGGCCTGCCTTCCAACTTGAGCGGCGGATCCAACCCGAGCTTGGACTATGGTTTCAAAGGTGCCGAGATCGCCATGGCCTCGTACACCTCGGAGCTCCAGTACCTGGCCAACCCGGTCACCACCCACGTCCAGAGCGCCGAGCAGCACAACCAGGACGTGAACTCTCTCGGCCTCGTCTCCGCTCGCAAGACGGTGGAAGCTCTCGACATCCTCAAGCTCATGTCGTCGACGTATCTGGTGGCATTGTGCCAGGCCATCGACCTCCGCCACCTCGAGGAGAACTTGCAAGCCACTGTGAAGCAGACCGTCTCTCACGCCGCTAAGAACACGGTCACCACCGGAGCTGCCGGAGCGCTGCTGCCGTCGCGCTTCTGCGAGAAGGAGCTCCTGTCCGTGGTGGACAACCAGCACGTCTTCACCTACATCGATGATCCGGCCAGCGCTGGATACCCGCTCATGCAGAAGCTCCGCCAGGTTCTCGTCGAGCACGCCTTGAAGAACATCGGGGACGAGAGCTCCTCGGTGTTGCACAAGATCGGGCTGTTCGAGGAGGAGCTCAAGGCGGCGTTGAGTGTCGAGGTCCCGGCGGCCAGGGAGGCGTACGAGAGCGGTAACGCGGTGCTGCCAAACCGGATCTTCGACTGTGCCTCGGCGCCGCTGTATGAGTTTGTGAGGAAAGGTGCTGGAACTGCGCTGCTCATGGGGACCAAGAGTGGAACGCCCGGCGAGGACTTCACCAAAGTCTACGATGCCATCTGCCAGGGGAAGCTTGTTGCTCCCTTGTTGAAGTGTCTCGATGGCTGGTCCGGAACGCCCAGTTTTTGAGCTGCGCTAACTCGCTAGCTCTCGATCAAACGAGCGGGTCAGCGAGCGAGCACACTTCTTGTGTTTCTCTTCAGCTTCTCCTTCCTTTTCTCAGAACGCGACACGGGACGTTCAAAGATTTCGAGATCTCTTGCCGGTTCATCCATTTTTTTCTGACATCATCTCTCTTGGTGTTTTTCTTCTTCTTCTTCCCTGTGCTGCTGCTGTTACTGCTGTGGCGGCTGCTGTATTTATTGTGTACATCTAATGAAATGTTGGCGAGTTTGTCTCTCGTTGCCTAGTTGCTCTCCTGCTTTCTTCTAAGTGGATGAAAAGGTTATGACTTTCTCTTGGGTTCCAACACCACTGGAAGTTTGGATTTTGTCCGTCCAATCAGGAAACCAGTAGGAACCTTTAAAGCAGCCGAGCCGAGCCAAATCGAGCCAGCCGAAAGTCAAGTAACGAGTGGAGAAGAGCTGTTCTAAACGTTGAGGAAATCAACACCACTGTAGCTCACTTGCATGAGTAGCTGGGCCTTCCATCTACTGCAACATCCGAGGCTCTAGAATTGTTTTTTCTTTCTTTGCTTTCTTTTTCGCTGATCGGTCTGAGAGAAGAGCCCGGCGATAATCTCTGGTCCTTCTCAGGCAACAACAAGGAATTAAAGCGACAAAAAACAGGAGAGAAAAAATAAAACTATCGATCGATCTAACAATCGAGTCTAGCACTTACTTTCTCTCGCAGATCTGTGCGACACACTGCCACCTTTAATTGCCGTGCTGTGCCACCAATTTCTTCTTTTCCCTCTTGGACATTTTCTGGAGTTTCTTGAGGTTGGTCACCTTCTGGAGCTTCAACCCCGACTTCTTCACGTTTTCCTCCTTCCTCTTCTTGTACTCCTCCAGCCTCTTTCGCTTCTCCACCTTGTTGGCCCGGATTTGCTCCTTGAGCTGCTGCTTGCGCTCCCGGAACTCTGCCGCGATGCGCTTGGCCTTGGCGCGCTCCTCCAGGCTGCTGCCCTCGACCCACAGCGCCGACGCGCGGCACGTCTTCACCTCCTTCCACTTGCGCCCTGACACCTTCCCCGCGATCACGCTGTCGTAGCTGGGCTTACCGTAGACGGGCCTGGAATCTCCCTCATCCAAGCAGGACGAGGCTCTGGTCCAAAGCCTGCCGTCTCCTCCTGCCACTGCTCCTCCACATCCATCGCCGCCTGATCGGCATCGCGCTTGTGCTTCTTGTTCTTGGCGCCGCCTAGCCCCTCGTCGAGGAATCGAAAATCCAGAGGCGCCGCCCCCGCCATGACTCCAAGAATGCCCTCCCTCGCTCGCGCGGGACAAAACTTCATATATTCTGCAAGTTTTATAAGCCCTAATGGAATCTTGATTTAGAATCTTTTGCCAAAAAATTTTAAACCCAAACCCAAAAATAAAAGATAATGGAAATTTAAATGTGTGAGGTTAAAGTGCTGTATATTAATATTAGCATAGTGGGATTTTAATAACTATCATTCGTTCTTATATATAAACGAGTACTTGCCCAGCAAATGCTGTGGTGCAAGTGCATGGTGTAACATTTGTCACCACGCCCTCTTCCCTTCCCGGCCACACATGCATCCTGCCCATTGGCCACCACAACATTGAGCCGATATTCCCACTAACCATGGCCACCGGCCCTGGCCCGAGCCTGGGCTGGCTTCCCCTTGCCGAGAACCATGGCTTCCGAGGCTGCCCCGGGCCTGGGATCGGACGGCTGCGGGGGTGTGGGTTTTTCGTTCTTATTATTATAGATTAGGGTTTTTGGGTTAATTGATATATATATTTTTATATTCCACTTCCATATTTTATACACTCACAGTGAGGAGCACTTTTGATCGTCCTTGTAGAGTGTTTAAATTTGGGATTTTGGTTTGGATTTAGTTTTTGCATTATCTAAATTTTCTTTTCCTTTTACTTTTTTCATTTTTTTTTCTTTTGTTCTTTCCTTTTTCATTCATCTTCATGGCAGAGTAATAGTCTCCTCCTCTTTTGATTTTAGAATAATAGTTAGTGCAATTGCTTGATGCTATGTAATTGCAATTGAACAACCAAATTCAATTGATGGTGGCACTTATGGTGCATGGTACAGTTCCTCCTATTCTTGCTGCCAATTTTTATGTTCAATTGGAGTTATTCCATAGGAATCCTGGGGATGATATATACTATTGGTTTAATCACTTTATGGTGATTGCCACATATCATTCTTAGGATATGCTTAGCGTTTACATGAATTTCCCACATGTCTCCAAGGGACGACACTGCAGTGATACAATGGCTTGAGTGCAACCACTCGTGCGGATTGGAGCATTCTCTCAGATGTTTTCAAACGAGTATTTAGACATGCTGATGATTGTGATGATACTTTCTAACAATTGCATCGTTTTCGTCAAAGAGCCATTTGAATCAATGATGCAATATAGCATTTGTTTCCATAACTTCTTGCTTCATGCAGAGTCAAATAT